TGTCGTTGGCCTTTCCCGACGACAATTTTTTTAAATTTGGAGACCGACGAGAGCCTTGTACCGTTTGGTTTTCTTCTCACAAACGCACCGGCATACGGGACTAAAAACCAATCTACAAAAATATGATACCATGAATATTGAACAGTACCGGGAAAAAGAATCAATGGTATGTGAATAATTAAAATTAAACATACAGTTAAAAAAGAATCCTATTAACTCACTGAAGGTTATGGATATACTAGTACGTAATTAAATGTATCTCTTGTCGTCAGGTAGAGGCAAGCTTTTCCTGGATAAGTTTGGAAAAAAATTTAATAATTTAGAACGAGTGCCTTGAAGCCTCAACAGAAATTCAAAGTAAATATATTGCATTTTCATTGGATTCATGGTGTAATCCACATTTTCTGACTTGGAGAAAGCCACAGTTACAACCTATAAACAGCCCAAAATTTGTTGCTGTACCATAAAATTTCTAAAATGTTCTCATTGTGCAAGGTGGATTATTAAAGTGTCTCTCACGGTGCATACAAGATGGGTGGAAGCCAAAGCTTCAGTGGTGCTTGGTGTCATTTAATGGATGGAGATGACCTACAGGAGCATTCGATAGTACCATAGTCCACGGCTGGGCAAGGAATGAAATAGTGATGAAAAATGAACATTTTATCTATGCCTTTCCCAAATAAAATAAAACCTCGTGGTTATGAAAACGAAAAAATATACAAGACATATTAAGGTACTAGAAAATGTTGAATGCGCTTGTGACCAGCGGAGACGATGCCAGTGGGGTCAGAAGACATGATCGTACAGTGGAGACTATTGGGAAATTTTATTTGTGTAGGAGGTGTGAAGTGATAAAAAAAAAGCCTTAAGAAGTTTGATGAGGAACGAAAGTTAGAAATATGTTTATGAACATATATTGAACAAACCCCAAAATTCTGGATATTAAAGTTGGCAGTGACTCCGAAAATATGAGTACAATGCCCAATATTAAAGCCAGGTACATTATTATGACACTGGTCAGAGTAAGAAGCCGGTGGTAAGCTGGACGATGTAACAAAAGGTACCAGGGTGTAAATCGATTGTTTTGGGTAGCATCCCAATTTAATGGTAGTATACCTTAGATAGGGTTTTGGGCTTGAAAATGAGCTGAGGCAGGATAACAGCTCTTATTTTGTACAGTCTGTGTAAACAAAAAAAAAAAAGAATTGTTAAAATACCTGTTGATGGTTAGAAACAAAACTTCCGTTTCAATACAGTCTTCAACGATGATAATTCACGATATCGTAAAA